AAACTATTTTTTTCTCTTGTCAGGACAAAGATGTTGCCAGGCTGCAGGATTTCCAGGAGCTGGAGGTTGTGCTGGAGAAGACGGAAGGCCTTGCCTTGTTTTCAGCCACGGGACAGTCCTCCCTGACAGACAAGCCCTGCTACAATATGAAAGCGTCGAAGCTCACTTACTAGCTTGCCCCGGAGCACACCACGCAGCATCTGTTTACATGTGTGCTGGTGAAAACACTTGAGTAGGCTGAAAGGTTTATTCCCCCTCTGGTTTCTATTACATTATTCCACTTTCAGAGGTGTGTGATGTGGTATGATTCAGTTTGCAGTATGATACATATTTCTAGCAGTGATGTTTTTCTTTGTCCTTTTAGGCAAAGTCTTTTTGTTATACACCACATGGTATGGGTCACTGCTGTGGCGTATGTTTTCATTTCGGCATATTTGTTTTTCTCTGATGAGTGACTAGAAAGGGTTTAGCTCCCTGAGAGAAAGGTATTTTAGTGATAAGAGTCAGAGATTACAAGAATTCATCTTTTTGCTGTAAATTTCCTTGAAATCTATTACTCTTATTAAAGATACTAATCTACTATATTATATGAGTCATCCTAGAAGAAAGATGCATACACAGTAGATATGAAATTAACACTTTAAAAGTGCTGAAACAACCTCTAACAAGCATGAACAATTTTGTTTTCCTTATTTGTCTTTTAATGATATCATCCATGTTTTAAACGGATTCCGTTTTTATTTTAGCAAATCTAAGGTTTTGACAAGTGTTTTAAGCAGTTCCTTTCCATTTTAAGGGAGATTAGGATTCTATGGCACATAAAGACTGGGATCACGAGACAGCAATTTAATATATGAAATAAAAAAGAGAGGTGAATTTCATACTTATTTTCAAGTGCACCATGATATGTAAGTAATTGGTATGTGAAAGTGAAATATGGAAAGTAGGTGTTTGAAAGTCAAATATTAACACAAATAGAGAATAATTTGAATTCTGCAAACAAACAAGTTAAAGAATGGACTGGACATGACTCAGTTATCCACGACTGGTATCTTACTCAATTCTTTACTTACTACTTATTATTCATTTTTATTTCAGAGCAGTTTTAGTTGTATTTCTTGTGACGTAAACATTTAGTGACTGACCAGACAATGCCGTGATTTTTTAAAAAGCACATTTGTACCTCCATTTATCATGTAAAAGATTAAGTATGTGGACTGCAGCTATGACTGTTTTTTGGAAAAGGAATAGAAAAATACATATGTACAAAATGTATTTTCAAAAGCTTTAACATATAATATCACTTCATTGCATTTCACTGTAAAAATACAACATACTGTAATACAACCCAGAGGCTCATGAAAAACAACACATACTGTCAAGGAACAAATCTGCGATACCACTAGTGACTGAAAATACAAATGTGTTTATAAAACCAATGAATTGAAAGACACAGCAGGAAGCCAGGAGATGTTAATGTTGTGGGGAGTGTCTGTTGAGTGTTTTAAGTAAGTTTTCCATGTTGATAAAAGCTCCAGTAACTCTCAGCCTTGTATCTTAATTATTCCATTGTTTTTTTCCAGTGATGTTTTGGAATTATGAGGTTTGTATTTTGCATAATCCCCCATCAAAATAGATTAACTTCTCTTGTGATTTATACTGTAACTAAAAGTAGCAACATTGAAAAGCACTTTGTTAAACTTTGTCTGGAAAGGAAGAGAGAATCTTTTTTAAAGTAGGAGTACCTACAAAACACTAAACAACTGTGTATGTTAGATTCTTTAGGCGAGTAATGTCTAATCTCGTAGTTACTGTCTCTTTAAAATGCTGATCATTTCCCTCATAATTTACGAGTCATGGAGGGGGGGCAGTTTTCAGATTTCAGACAGTATTGCTGTTATCAGTAAGGTTGGGTCACCCTTATTGGTGATAATTAAGATTTTGCAGAGGAAAGCTTGTTTGAAAGAAAATGGTAACTCCCGTTTAGTGTTTGTTAATTTGTTTAATACGGGGTGAGTTTTACTCGCTGTGTGACAGTGCACAGAATAATGAGTGGCAGCCTGAGTGTCTTATAGATAACAGGAAGCAGGCAGGCTCTTCTGTGACCTATTTATTCTCAGAACAGAGGTTTTTTTAATTATTGGCTGAAATAATGGAATCTTTTTTTTTTACGTGTATTCAGCAGAAGCCTGGTTTGAACTGTTTTTTTATCATTTTTGATTGAATTGGATTTTTAAGACCTTTGGTGATAATTTTA